GTCTTTCCTCCATCTCATTAAATGCTAGAATACAGCTACATACCTTGCAAGCTACTTGGACTCTTGTACAGTGTAGGTAACAACAATCAATATCTCATTTTACAAACAACATCAAGCCTATGTATATTCATAATAGGGAGAAAGGGGTTACATTTTGCTTAATGCCTTGGTATATATAATATATAACAATTGTATAATATTAATAATGTTGCCTTTACAACCACTTGATTTTTATACAAGTTTGCTCAGTGTTTCTTTCATTTATTTATACTCTTGTGCAGCAAAATAAGCAGAGATGGTGGTCTAGCCTATATAGTTATTCGTGGTAGAAACCATATGTAGCATTGTAAAAAAGCTAGTAGGTGAATCTACTGATTGATTATCATTGGCATGAAAAATGTAACATCTGTGTTAGTAAACCTATACATATTTGTTAGCTATTAACTCTTTCCTTATGATATGTTTATGTTTTTTATTGTCAAAATGTAGTACATGTTTATAGCATAGAATAATTAATACAGTGTGTCTTTAATAAACAATAAGATCTTATATATATATAGTCATTTATCAAAGAAACAATGGCTATATTAACTACAATTTTATAAAAAAAAGTATTAAGATCTTAAGATTTCATGCACAGAAGGTAGTGTGATCTGATTGTGTGTATCTTGTAAGTGTTATTCTCTTTATAACGTAAAAAAAAAATCTAGATAAATTACATTATTTAAATCTTTGTTAGATGAGTGTACCGGAGGTTGCAAACCCATGGGTAATAAAACATAGGAGAACCAAGCCAATGTGGCTAAATACACAGTTAGGGGAATACATTTAAATGAGAAGGAATGAATTCTGACTTGAAGTCTGAAACGATTGGCAGAATTTCACTCTTGCAAAGAATACAAACATTTTATGGAAGCTTAGTAGAAGACAATTGCAACAACTGAAGTTAATGTAATGATTGCTCTGGGAAGGAAAATCAGTTCTGAGACATTTTTAACATATATTTATATCAGAAACAGTAGAAGAGAGAATAAAGAACATATTCAGTGTAAGATAAGTAAATTATTGGTAGGATTCCTACCAAATAGAACAGGCCCGTAGAACAGACTTTATTCTTTTTTTGTTGATTTACCAAGGTAAAACATTTCCTGACATTAGAGATTCAGTCAATAAGTATATTATTGATAAATCCATAAATTAAAAATTTACTTATTATATAGTCATGCACACATATTATTTAATAAAGGCTGTTACCACGATTGTGTGGGTGTTACCCAAAACACCACACCCCCAATTAAGTAAAACAAACAATGTAATTGACAGTGGTTTAGAACATTGCAGACTAAAGTGAAGCGTTGGTTTTAAAATGTAAGTGAAACACTCACCCTTCCACTCATAAAAGGATGTTCCAAAAGAACTCCCAAAATAGGAGAGAAACAGAAAATACCTAGTCAAGTATTGTAACATAATACATAACCAGAACTTATAGATGTTATATTGTCCACTCACATAAATCAAGCCTACTAATATCAGATCAAATCACAAAAGATTCAGCTCCTTTTATTACAGTGCGCCACCTTTCTTCGCTATTGATGCTTCCGATAACCAAAAAAATAGAAGAACACAAGTGAAACCACCAATCGTGTAAATGCTGGAATGTGGCAGATCACCTTAATATATACTGCACACCTAATATGGAACCTTTTTAAGACTGGCTCTAGGTTCAACCAATATTTAGTGCCAGTTAGGGGTGGCACCTAATCCTTTCTTTCATTTAGATGCACAGGTAAAACATTTTTACAGCTCCACTCTGCTTATATAGATGGATCAAATTATAAAAAAAAAATAACACAATAAAAAGTAAAACAATAAGAACAAACTTGAAACTGTGGAGTCCTTTAATCTAGTTTAGCCCAAAACTCATTTTGCTGTTCGTATGATCCTTTTTAAATCAGCTGCAATTAAAGGACACAAAACGCCCCCTCACTCTCCTTCAATTACTAGTGTGGACAACAATCTCGCAAAAGTATTGCATCTGAATTTCTTGCTCGGTGCACGCCGCCTGAAATGACTAATTAGCAGATAGCATCACGACACTTTTGGCTGGGCCATATCCATGTAGGTTAATGTAGGGCCAATCCCATTCCACCTAGTTTTGTAGAAACATAAGTAAGCAATAGTTTCACATTAAAAGCTATCTAGCACATAGTAATAACTTCATAACTTCATTAGCTATATATTGCAGGGCCAAAGCTATTTATAATAATAAACAGAACAAATTAATCAATACAAATTATTGCTAGAAACAAGGGCACTTTCTGTTTGCACAATGGAGGTATACTCACTAAACCCTTAAAGAAAATGTAATACATGTTCACACCTTGCATAAAACCTATTGCGCATGCATGATGAGTGACAAGCATTCACTAGGCCTTTCTCATTGGAAAGCATTGAATCACTGCTTTCCTATTGGGGTTTTGCAGGGCCAGTGCAAGGATTGTTGCCACCCTAGGAAAACAAAAACTTGCTGCCCCTCATATGTTCTGCCCACCATGTGACATCACAATGCACCACCCATATGACCTGCTATATTGGCCAATGCCAGTTCTGCACACAGTGTCTTTTATCTGAAAAGGTAGTGTGTTTACATTAAAAAGACTGCAGGGACAGGCTATAGACACTAGAACCACTACATTAAGCTGTAGGGGTTCTAGTAACTATAGTGGTCTTTTAAATTGTGAGGTAAATTAGAGATTAGTGCCACTAATAATATACTGGATTGCCTACTTACTACCAGCTGAGGACAAGAGGATGATGAAGGGCTAAGGCTGCAGTCTTGCTCCACTGATCTGTTGTAGAATTGTAGATTATGCTAACGTAGTGTACCTATAATCTTAATTTTAATAATGACAGGAGGCGAGTATTTTGCATAACTTTCTTTACTTTATGCCTCCAGCAGCACAAGTCAATCAATAAACTTTAAACCAATCAGTAACAGGCATCACATTCATATATAAAGCCCTGACAGTCACATGACTTCCTCTTTCTTTGATGCGAAAAACAGTCTATTATAACGTCAGGGAATTCAAATAACAGTCCTGAGTAACGTGTAGAACATAACTTGAAACCTTCCAGCTTTATCTTGTCGAATCCATCTATGATGATTACGCTGAAAAGAACAGAAATACGTGAAAGGTGATGGAAACCAACTGTTGTCCACATTAAATCCAGTACTATATGTGTCTATATTTATATTAAGTTAATATACTGAAACATTAAACAAACCATAGTATACTTAATAATCAACACGGATCTAACACATATCAACCAAATAAGCATCCCATAAATATACTGAATTACCAAACCTTATAATTTACACTGAGAAAATGACAAACCAAAATATAAAAAATTTCCAGAGTATAGGGAGGGAAACAGGGAGGGAAAATACTCGCCTCCTGTCATTATTAAAATTAAGATTATAGGTACACTACGTTAGCATAATCTACAATTTTATCACATGACAGGAGGCTTCATATTTTGCATTTTTAAAGCTGTGGTATGAGCGTGAAGGATGCGTGTGTGGTTGACGAAAATAAATATACGGAAGTAGTCTATCCGTGTCCAATTCGTCGCTGAAAATATAGAGGCCCCCTCGTGAAGGCCTGAGAAGCAGCTGCGCCTCTTACCGAATGAGTACCCAAACACGTCTCCACCCTCGCTAGCGATAACAACCAATGAACCCATCTAGAGAGAGTGTTCATGGTAACTGGCTTGTACGGTTGGTATAAGACCAGCAGATGTCCTGAATGTGACATTCTAAGTGTTGTCGTGATCTCCATGTAACAAAGTACCCCTTTAACTGCACAAAGGCTGGGAAACCGTCGGTAACAGGGAACGATACGGACACGGATAAGATATAGTTCTACGAGACACTGTAGAAATTATTCTTTCCGGTGATACCGAAAAGACCGTCTACGTCGAACTCCAGTACATCTGATACCCGACGAAAAGACCTAAAAGTAACGTGACTCTGGCTAATGGCTGACTGAGGGATAGGACCGTGATATCTGACTAGCTCCAAAAGAACCAAATCAAAGTCCCACACCAGTGATACTTTGACGCATGGTTCTGGACGGTTTGATACCCCACAGAAAATGGCATATCAAAGGCTCTTGATTGACCGGAGTGTCGTGAATCGTGCTATGCGTCGTCGAAATCGCGGAACGTAGCCCGTTAATGGAACGTTCCGATCGGCCTGTAGTGAAAAGGTATGATAAAGATCCAGCATCGTGGAGATAGGGGTAATAAAGGGATCGCAGTCCCTTCCCATACACCAGCGAACTCCAGGTGTTCCATGCGGATAAGTTATTTCGGGGAATACCTGGCGTCCATGAGTCCCATAGTAGGTCTCTAGTTGGTTGCGATAGTCCCTTGACATACCAGTCTCCCCTGGAAGACACCAATCTACCAACTCCAGATGCTCCTGCATTCTCAATGGATGATGTTCTCCTTTTGGATCCGCCCGAAGGCAAGTTAAAACGGAAGGAGCAGAGGATGATCCTGATTAAGGACAACCCTTCTGGGTGTCACGCTTGCCTCCTTTACCGCAGTAATGAGTACTATCGAAGTCTTCGCTATTCTGATCCCAATTTCATAGGTGTGTCCGTATCTCAGGCAGTGAGCTTTCAGCCACTGTCTGGCCTGGTAGTGAAGCAGTCCTGGGAAATAGTCAAAGGGTTATGGTGCCTTTCCGCCGTACCCGTCGAATTTCCTTACGAATCGTCGCTATCAATGATGTGGGAAGGTGTAATCCGCCCAAGGTGGAATCTATTCTGAAATAGAGGAACTGAATCACTCGGAACTGGGATCGAACCAACTCCTCTCTGTTCACTATGAATCCCAACAATTCCCGAAACTGTAAACATAAATCTCGTTTGTAAACGTAGTCATGAATTGGATTTGCAAAAGGTAAGTCGTCTAGGTATGTGACAGCAGATACCCTTTGCTTTTCAGTGCGCAGTGACCGACTTCAGAAACTTCATGAGGCACCATGTGAACCTATAGGTAAGTGCCCTTCAAGTCCAACCTTGTAGATCCCCTAAGAGATGGATACCTTCCTTCTTGAGTTGTCGGTACGCCCCAAAACCATTGGGTTGGCATAGGTTGATGACTGGGTGATAGTCTCCTATCTTCTTCCTTACTACCAAACCGTTGCTGAGATAAATGGTTCTCCAAACGATAGTCTGTCTGCCTGAGGTCCTCGCTCTTTCGTCCCTAACTTCAATAGTTTGAAATCCATCTTTAATCGGGCTGCTTTGCGGCGTTCTGTGCACCTGTCTGCCTTGCGTTCCCCAACTTACATATTGCCCTTTGCACCCATTCCCTCACATCGTGAGCTTCTAGAGGTGAGTCTTGTGTGGGGTCAGGTCCGCAAAGTATAGAATTTTTTCCCGGGCTGATCATATCCAGTATTTAACTCATTTTGAGTCCTCCTCCTACACACTGATCGGGACATACATATCACCACGAGCTCCATAGTGAGGACTATCTTGTTCGGACATAGAGGGCGTGGGCATTCCATCCTGAGCCGGTCTCGGATTTCTTTTCCCATAGGCCTCCTAAGCCAGAAGTGGGCCCGGTGCTCCAGTTAACCCCATTCGGATGACCCTGGTTGTCGGATGGTGCGTGAGTCAAAACAGGAGTGTCCAGTGTGCCAAAGAAAAAACCTTTCTTGCTAGGCGTGTCTTGTCACTTTTACCTCTTCTGCCCTCCATTCTTTCATGATCTCCAGAGAAGGGGGGGGAGGATGAAGTCCTCGTCCCCTGATGATGGGTGTCCGACCTAACGTCGGTATCTCAATCTTCCATTGGTGTTGCTGCCGTTGCACCCGCTCTGTCGGATGGGTTGTTAGCCAGCATACTGGAGAGGACTTCTTCCCCCGGAGCTGTCATGGCAGCCTTAATCCTCGCCTGAAAATCGGTCGGGGATATTGAGGTAAGTCCGACATGTTGGTTCACACCCTTTCGGTCCGTGGGAGACAGGATCGTACAACAGTACACTTATTGCCACTCAGTAGGCCTCCGCGTATAACTGGGGGTCACCCAGAATTTTGATCAATCAGTATCATTTTCGCAGGATCCGGGGAGTGGTCTGAGAATGAGGACACCCTCAGTAAGACCGGGATGAGCGGTCTGCAATGTCGGGACGTAGCCCGAGTCTGGGAGACGTGAAAGCCTCAATATATATAGTCCACGGGGTTCATCCTTATATGGTCTAGAATTGTGGAGTTTTGGCAGCACTGTGAGTTCTCCTTCTCGGTTAAGGGAAGGGCGTACGGAACCCCAGTTGAAGCATAGAGGTGCCAGAATACATGCATCTAGTGCGCCCTGGTCTGTGCATACAATGACAGAGCGTACTCTGAAGGTAGAAGCCCTAGAAAGGGTGCGGGGGGTCACCCCTTTGTACCTATGCCACTAGCACCGGAGTAAGACTCGCTTGGGGTTCACCCAGCATAGGGGGTCACCCCTGTATGAATGTCTCTTATGGCATGTTGGGACACTCTTTCGGTCTATGGGGTACCGAACAGGTGTCAGGTACGGTAGTACACTTATTGCCACTTAGTGGGCCTCCACGTACAACTGGGGGTCACCCAGAATTGTTTCAATCAGTACCACTTAGAGATTTCCTGGGAGTGGTCTGAGGAGGGGGTCACCCTCAATAAGACCGGGATGAGCGGTCAGTAATGTCGGGACGTAGCCCGTGTATGGGGAGGTATGGTAGCCTCCAAATTATCCAAGGGGTCACCCTTATAGGATATAGTACTGTGGAGAATTGGCAGCACCATGAGCTCTCCTTCCTGGCTCTGTCGATATACATGTATTCAGTGTGACCCGGTCTGTGCATACAGTAACAGATCGTACTCCGTGGAAATGAGCCCGCCCTAGGGCGTGGGGGTTCCCCCAGTATATGTATGTCACTAGTACCGGAATAATATTCGCTTGGGGTTCACCCAGAGTAGGGGGATCACCCCAGTATATGTATGTCACTAGGACAGGAACCAGATTCGCTTGGGGGTCACCCAGCGTAAGGGGGGTCACCCCTGTACCACAATGTCACTTTGGAGAGGTGTCTGCCACGCTTGGGGGTCACCCAGCGTAAGGGGGATCACCCCTGTTAATCACTCCGTTATGTGCCTCCACTACTGTGTCCTGGGAGGTGTATCCCTGTGGGGAAGGAGTGTATCCAATGGTTGTGAGGTCCAGTGGGAGTAGGGAGCGGAGTAAGATATCAGCTCTATTTAATTTCCCTGCCAGTAGATAGAGTAATGCATCCACTATATACCCACAGCAGGGGACAGTCCATTCATAATCCTCCAGATGTACAATAAAACTGTTATTCAACATGTCAATTGTATAGAACAGAATAGAGCAAACTGTCAGCAGATGCACACAGCAGGGATCAGTCCTACATATTCATGCAGAGTTACATATAAAACTTTTATTTCACATGCCAATGAAATATGCCAGTATAGAGCTCAGCAGTGAACAGTCCATTCATAATCTTCCAGGAAAGGTACATATAAAACCTTTATTCCACATGCCCATGAACAGTATTGAGCTCAAAAGTACTTGTAAAACTTTTATTTCACAGGAAAAATATATGAAACAGTACAGAACTAGCCGCCAGTTCGTGGGAATCACGAACTGGCCAAACGACATGGCCGACGTGAATCTCGCGAGTGCCGCGAGATTCAAGATGGCCGCCGTTCGCGCGCAAAAGTGCCGTGCGGCCCACGATCGAGGATACGATCGCGGTCTGCCGGCATGGAAAAGAGTCCCCCCGACATCCCCAACCCCCAGAGACCTGCCCTGAAGTCCCAGCACCAATGAATAAAAAGCGTGCTCGCGGTAAAACGCCGCGATCCATGCGAGACCAGAGTAAAGCATAGGAAAGAAAAGGTGCCAGCAACAGAAAACAGGCTAATAAAGCAGAAAATACAGGATTAATTCAGGGGAAGGGTAACAGGGGGAGAATATCACACTATACAAATCCAAATGGAAGGCAAGTGCAAGATAATGAAAAACGTTTAGGCCAAAATTGCAGGACAAGCTAATAAAGTTTAACAAAAGTGCCCATGCATATCCAGAAACAGTTTGGAGCAAAAACTGAATGTCTAGCATTAAAAATCTAACTAAAGTGACCATAGCAATATTAATAAAAACAGTTGGAGCAAATTGAAAGTCAATTAATAAAGTTTCATTAAAGTGGTATCCAGAAAAAACAGTTAGGATTAAAACTAAATGTCTAGCATAAGGTGTCTAACTACAGTGACCATAGCAATATTAATAAAAACAGTTTTGAACAAACTGAAAGTTAAGCAATAAATGATTAACTAATGACAATTGCAATATTCAGTAAAACAGTTTGGAGCAAAATACTCTGACCTGTGCCTTGGCTGGTAAGCAGCAAAGAAAGAGGAAGTCATGTGACTGTCAGGGCTTTATATATGAATGTGATGCCTGTTACTGATTGGTTTAAAGTTTATTGATTGACTTGTGCTGCTGGAGGCATAAAGTAAAGAAAGTTATGCAAAATATGAAGCCTCCTGTCATGTGATAAAATTGGCTCTCTGGAGACTGTTTGTAACAGTGCTCACAAAAATCAACTAACAGGAAGCAGCTCAATTTTTTTGGGGCCCCTTAAACAGCTCAAGATCTGGGCCCCCAGGACCTGACCGTGAGTCAGGCCCACCCATGAGTCCACCTACATTGCCCACCCATGAGTTCGCTCACAGGGAGTGGAGTGCATGTGTGTAGGGATGTGTTATTGTAGAGTATGTAATGTGTGTGTGTTCTTATAGAATGTCGTGTATAGGGATACCAATTTGTGTAAGGGATGTAGCGTATGTATAGGGGATGCAGTGTGTGTTTGTGTGTAAGGAATGCATTGTGTGTTTATGGGTGTGTAAGGGATGCATTGTGTGAATCTGTGTTTGTATGTGTAAGGAATCCAAGATGTGTTTCTGTGTATGTATATAATGCAGTGTGTGTCTGTAAGGGGTGCATTGAGTGTGTGTAAGAGATGCATTTTATTTCTGTGTGTGTGTAAGAGAAGCAGTGTGTGTGTGCTTAAGGGATGCATTGTGTGTTTTGTGTGTCTGTGTGTGATTAGGGATGCATTGAATGTGTCTGTGTGTGTGTAGGAATGCATTGTGTGTTTCTGTGTATGTGTAAGGATGCACTGTGTATGTGTGTAGTGTGAAAGAGAGGATTTGTGGAGTACCACAGCGGCTGAGAGGGGAGCAGCTCTTTATTTATTTTTTTATAGTGCTCTCTCCTCCTGTCAATTAGTGATCTCCCCTCCTGTCCCTCGGTGCTGTCCCCTCCTCTCCTGTCCCTTAGTGCTCTCCCTTTCCCTCTTTCCCATAGTGATATCCCCTCCCCTTCTGTCCCTTAGTGCTCTCCCTTGCCCATGTCCCTTAGTGATATTCTCTCCAGTCTATTAGTGCTCTCCCCACCCGTCTCTCAGAGCTCCCCCCTCCTGTCCCTTGGTGCTCTCACCTCCGCTCCTGTCCCTTAGTGATCTCCCCTACCCCTCTGTCCCTTAGTGCTCTCTCCTCTCCTCCCCTCCCTTAGAGATGCCCCCTCCATCCTTAGAGCTCTCCCCATTAAAATTGTTTATAAAAAGTGCAAATTGTGTGGTTGTATAGTATTATGTTTAAAAATCCATCATATCTCTATTTGGCTTAGTTTTTTTTTGTTTTTTTGTTAAATCGTCACCAAGTTCTGCACCTAGTTCCTGGTAGACATGTTTATGGTCCCAAAAAGACATGAATAATTTGACTTAACTGAGTGTGAACCTGTTTCCCATCAACCTCCCACGTCCAAGCTCGATAAAGAGCCGGTAGAAACTTGCTGCTTTTGCCCCAATAAAGCTGTTATTTTTGTTATCCCGTAGTGCTTGATCTGTTATTTATTCTGCATATCTTAAAAGCAGTAGCTTAACTTGCATACTTGTTCAAAAGGGTCTCTTAATCATTCTATTCACCCAAATCGATTCCTCCTAAAAAAAAGTGTTTAGAGCGACTCAGGTTTCATCCATGTGCCGTCTTAATTGAGACAAATTTTGTCTGTGCAATTATTGTGGGAAAAACAATTTGGACTAATCAAAATGGTGATTATTTTTCTGGAAAATACACACATAATATAAATAATATTTATATATATATATATATATTTACCAGTACACTCGTAGTTGCATATCTGCGGTGAAATTTTTATATGCGCAATTTGCGAAGAAGTAACCAATAAAGGAAAAAAAAGGACTAGTAAAAAATGTCAAATTTATTATATAAATTATTACAAAAATTGATGAAAGTCCTGCTATGGACTGAAACATCGATATGATGTAACCCGAGTGTGGTTAATAAAGACAAATTTTCCTGATAGAAGTCCAGCGTGTTCCTTTCTTCATGGATATTTATATAAGCTTGGCTGAAGGAGCACTGTGGCACATACGACACAAATGTGAGTGCAGGATCGTGGATAATAATATATATTTATTAAATATGTAATATATAAATACTTAATCTATGAATAAAAAATAAATAGAAAAATAAACATATTTTAGAGCTCAGGATTTCGGACGAATTGCCAGTCGCCCAAAATTTGGATTATTTGTGATTCATTTGAAACTCAATGCATATCTAACTGCCAGGCACATCTCAGATGATTGTGATGATGTGCCATTTCTTCACTGCGTACCAGATAGATGTACCATATCCTTTGTCCCCTTCGTCAGCATATAAACAATAGAAAATAAGGTTTTATAGTTTGCATGTTATATCAATATTGCTAATAAAAGTTTCACTTCTAAATATAATTTATTTTACAGCCTTAGTTTTAAGGAAACCCAAACTTATAGTTCTCTGCCACAGAGTAGGCTACAGCTTTGTGATCTCTGAAGGTGTCTCCATAACTATTGAGTCAGAAGACAGAACTGGGGCATGTTTTGAGCTCCAAGTGACAGACTGAACTGTACCATCACTTTTTAGGAGTGGTGTTGAGAATACATTCAAGCACAGCAGAGTCAAATATTGTATCAAGTGAATGTTTTTGATAACTCTAAATAATATGTGTAAACAAATAAAGCAGACATATTTAATGTAGGCCTTGCCAGTTCTTAAAGCAAGCAGTCTTTTGATGTTCTACTTATTTCTTTTACTTTTACATATGTTAGAAACACTTCACTGTCACAGAAAAGACATTAAAGTTCATAAGAAGGTGCAGTCCTTTGCCACGGGCATGCTAGAGGAAATCCATATCACTGAAGCAGCTACCTACATGCAAAATTGAAATAGAAAATACTAAAAGTCTTAATTATATTCCCAAAGTGGAATTATACAAAAGGCCCTAGGAAAATTCTATATCAAATTCCACTTACTTGCTGAAAGCTTGCAAAAAAGGAAACTGAATGCATGGCAGATTGTATTATTTAATGTCAGCAGAAATATTTAAAGACTGCAAGCATATTTCTTTACAAAATTCACTTAGTGTTACTATTCAACCTTAGATAATTGATATTTGAGAATGCTATTTTAGATAATCATATAAACCTTATATCATTGAAGTGTTTATAATTTAATATGCAGCATTTAACACTGTACTTAAACCACTTATCACAGAGAATTTGAAGGAACCTGTTGTGTCTGCTGCGGTATGGTACATCATCTTCTGTGCATAGGTAGGCATAACAGTGCAGCTTTAAGCCTAAGAGTAAATGACATCCTCATCAGTGTGCTATGGAGTATGGCATGGATACTATGTCAGGTTAGGTATGCTGGCAATGTCATCGCAGACATTTTAAAGTCACAGAAAACTGGAGGTCATGGGTAATAGTCTGGAACAGTTGGCGCATGGGCAGTGAGACCTAGAATTTTACCCCGGATTTGCTCAATGTTGGTACATGGAGCACCAGTAGTAGAATATATGGTACAAAGTCATTAGATGGAGTAGGAATTACAGGAGATATTCAGTTGCTGTCTAGGACTGGTAATCAGTAAACATGAAATAAAGAATGAGTCATTAATTAGGAATAGTCTTTAACCCCCTTAAGAACCGCAGACATACTAGGTACGTCAGACAAAAATGGTCATTAAAGACTGCGGACGTACCTAGTATGTCTTGGGCATATCTATTACTTACCCGATCACTTCCATTCCCCTTCCGACTATCGGTGTTACTCTCAGTCTGGGGGGCCTGTGTGACAGCCCAGACAGTCCCACCTCGGCAAATTAGGCCCCCGCGGGACATGTGATCACTCTGAAAGAGCAGTCACATGGCCGCAATAGGCGTCCATAGTATTGCCTGCAGGGGAACTGCCTGAAATGATAGGCAGTCTCCCTGCATCTGTAAAATACATTTATTTATTTTTTGTATAAATTGTACATGTATATATGAGCTATATATACATATATTATATCAATATATCATATGTATATGTACATACATATGTAGCTTATATATAACATCATACTAAGTATTTTTATTAACATATAAATACACTTAGAGTAAAATTACACACATATATATATATATATATATATATATATATAATATATATAATAACTATATATATTGTGAGTATGTATATATATATATATATTATATATATATATATATATATATATAAAATTGTAAAAAAGTAATAAAAAAAATGTAAAAAAAAAAAAAATATGTACATATATATATAATTCCCAGGTCCCAGCACTCGATGCTCCCGGTCTTGAAAAAAGTATTTTACAGACTGAAACGTCGACTGGAACGTTGTGTGAATTTGTAATTGCTCAATAAAGCAACAGATGAAATTTACCTTGAAAGACTCCTGAGTGCTCTCTACTGGTATTTTATATATATATATATATATATATATATATATATATATATATCAAATGGCTCTTGCACACAGACTAAAACAGGTGTAAATGCCGGGTGCCAACCAGGTTTGACATTATCCATGTTAAGGGGAGGGAAAGCTGCACTCACGATCTTCCATAAAAATCCAATTTATTAGGTATGCATTAAAAGATCGACGTTTCAGTCCTACAACAAGGACTTTCTTCAGGATCAAACATAAAGAGTGCCTAATAAATTGGATTTTTATGGAAGACCGTGAGTGCAGCTTTCCCTCTCTTTAACTATATATATTAATTTATTCTAACTGTATTTATTATATATATATATATATATATATATATATATATATATAAATTTACCAGCACTCTTGGGTTTAGTTCATCCAATTTATTGCTGGTCAATTTTTTTTTTTAAAAAACACCTAATCTAGGCAAAAATAATGGGGGTTTAGTTACATTATATGATCATACATTACATAAGTCTGCCACAACGTCAATCTTTGGCAGGTCCTACACTAACAGCCTAATGTCTGCTCTTATGAGATTAAC